GGATGGGACTGGATCCCTCAGGATGGGACTGGATCCCTCAGGATGGGACTGGATCCCTCGGGATGGGACTGGATCCCTCGGGATGGGCTTGGATCCCTCAGGATGGGACTGGATCCCTCGGGATGGGCTTGGATCCCTCGGGATGGGCTTGGATCCCTCAGGATGGGACTGGATCCCTCGGGATGGGACTGGATCCCTCAGGATGGGACTGGATCCCTCGGGATGGGACTGGATCCCTCGGGATGGGCTTGGATCCCTCGGGATGGGATTCCCCCAAACACACCCTCCCCCCATCCAGCCCCACATCCCATCCCAGGATCCGGGATGAGTTTTCCTGGGCCGGGCAGGGATGAGGCCTGGGAGGGAATCGGGGGCGTTCCCCAAGTGGGGATAATTAACAATTCACCCCGGACTAATTATACCCTAATTACCGCCCTGCCCCGCGCTAATGACGCGTTAATGACACGTTAATGACGCGCTAATGAGGGGCCCGGGCAGAGCTGTTCCTGCTGGGAGCGGCAATTCCACAACTCCAGGGGGCAATTCCACAATTCCCACAACTCCCACAACTCCAGGGGGCAATTCCACAATTCCACAACTCCAGGGGGCAATTCCACAATTCCCACAACTCCAGGGGGCAATTCCACAATTCCCACAATTCCCGGAGCTCCGGGACACGCGGAAAAAGGGGTGGATTTTCCTGCCCCCGAGCCCGGGCTAAGCCTCTGGAGAGGCTCCTGCAGCTGCCAGGGGGTTCCAGAGGGCACTGGGAACACTGGGAATAACTGGGAATAACTGGGAATGACTGGGAATAACTGGGAAGGGATCCCAAAGGTTCTGGGATCTCATATGGGAGGTGGGAAGGGGGTGTTTCCCTTCAGGAGCCGGGCGGTTTTCCAGAGGGACGAGCCCAAACCCGGAGGCTCCTGCAGCTGCCAGGGGGTTCCAGAGGGCACTGGGAACACTGGGAATAACTGGGAACACTGGGAATGACTGGGAATGACTGGGAAAGGATCCCAAAGGTTCTGGGAGCTCATGGAGATGTCGTGGGAGGTGGTTTTGATGTGGGAGCCGGGCGGTTTTCCAGAGGGACGAGCCCAAACCCGGAGGCTCCTGCAGCTGCCAGGGGCTTCCAGAGGGCACTGGGAACACTGGGAATAACTGGGAATGACTGGGAATAACTGGGAAGGGATCCCAAAGGTTCTGGGAGCTCATGGAGATGTCATGGAATCTGGAAGGGGGGTGTTTCCCTTCAGGAGCCGGGCGGTTTTCCAGAGGGACGAGCCCAAACCCGGAGGCTCCTGCAGCCGCCAGGGGGTTCCAGAGGGCACTGGGAACACTGGGAATAACTGGGAATGACTGGGAATAACTGGGAATAACTGGGAAGGGATCCCAAAGGTTCTGGGAGCTCATGGAGATGTCGTGGGAGGTGGTTTTGATGTGGGAGCCGGGCGGTTTTCCAGAGGGACGAGCCCAAACCCGGAGGCTCCTGCAGCTGCCAAGGGGTTCCAGAGGGCACTGGGAACACTGGGAATAACTGGGAATAACTGGGAATGACTGGGAAGGGATCCCAAAGGTTGTGGGAACTCATAGAAGGTGGGAAGGGGGTGTTTCCCTTCGGGAGCCGGGCGGTCTTCCAGAGGGACGAGCCCAAACCCGGAGGCTCCTGCAGCTTCTGGGGGTTCCAGAGGGAACTGGGAACACTGGGAATAACTGGGAATAACTGGGAATGACTGGGAAAGGATCCCAAACGTTCTGGGATCTCATGGAGATGTCGTGGGAGGTGGTTTTGATGTGGGAGCCGGGCGGTTTTCCAGAGGGACGAGCCCAAACCCGGAGGCTCCTGCAGCTGCCAGGGGGTTCCAGAGGGCACTGGGAACACTGGGAATGACTGGGAATAACTGGGAATAACTGGGAATGACTGGGAAGGGATCCCAAACCTTCTGGGAGCTCATAGAAGGTGGGAAGGATGTGTTTTCCTTCAGGAGCCGGGCGGTTTTCCAGAGGGACGAGCCCAAACCCGGAGGCTCCTGCAGCTGCCAGGGGGTTCCAGAGGGCACTGGGAACACTGGGAATGACTGGGAATGACTGGGAATGAGTGGGAAGGGGCCCCCCACCTTCCTCATCATGTGAGCAGCCGCCTGCCAGCCGCGGGGCCCGATGTGTTTGTTGCAGGAGATGTTGAGGTGCGTGGCCGACTCGTAGTACTCGATCATGTCGAACAGCGCCGACGCTCCCTGCGGGAAAAACGGGACAGGCCGGGAATTGGGAATGATGGGAGAGCCCAGCGGGATGGTCTGGGACTTGGGAATGGTGGGGGAGATCCAACAGGGATGGTTTGGGACTTGGGAATGCTGGGGGAGATTCCGGGCCTTGGGAATGCTGGGGGAGATCCCACTGGGATATTCCCAGCCTTGGGAATGCCGGGGGAGATCCCACCGGGATATTCCAGGCCTTGGGAATGCTGGGGGTGATCCCAGACTTGGGAATGCTGGGGGAGATCCCACTGGGATATTCCAGGCCTTGGGAATGCCGGGGGAGATCCCACTGGGATATTCCAGGCCTTGGGAATGCCGGGGGAGATCCCACTGGGATATTCCAGGCCTTGGGAATGCCGGGGGAGATCCCACTGGGATATTCCAGCCTCAACATTCCCAATAATACAAAGAGACTGGGAAAAAAAAAAAGGTGGGAAAAGGCAGGAATTGAGGCAGGAGAGGCCTCAAAATTCCCAACAATCCCCCCAAAAACTGGGAAAAGGCGGTGGGAATTGCGGCCTGGGCCGCTCCTTAATGAGTTAATCGAGTTAACGAGCCTTAATGAGCTGTTAATGAGCTGTTAATAAACTGTTAACGAGCTCTTTGGGGGCGGCCCCGAAATTCCAGGAGGTTCCTGGGGGGAATAAAAACAATCCCTGGAAGAGGCTCCGGGAGGAGCTGGAAAAGCAGGAATGGCAGCGATTCCAGGGGGTCCCGGGGCTGGAAAAGTGGGAATGTGGCAGGGATTGGGGGGGGGAAGGAAGGGCAGGAGGGGGATCCAGGGGCTGGAAAAGCGGGAATGCGCCGGGAAGGATGGGAAAAGGGCAGGAATTCCACCCCGAATTCCCTGGGGAGGCGGGAAAATCCCCATCCCAAAGGGAGGGAGGGGGGGTTTCCCAAGGAAAGGATTCCCTGGGGAGATTCCCAAGGCTCTGGAGCGGGAATGGGAATGGGAGTGGGAATGTCAGACTGGGAATTGAGGACTGGGACTGGGAATGTGGGAATAGGACTGGGAACGTGGGACTGGGAATGTGGGAATGGGATTGGGAATTGGAGATTGGGGATGGGAATTGGGGACTGGGAATGTGGGATTGGGTCTGGGAATGGGATTGGGAACTGGGAATGTGGGAATGGGGATTGGGAATGTGGGGATTGGGAATGTGGGAATGGGGAATGTGGGGATTGGGA